AGTTGTTATTTAATACAAAATAGCCCATTTTATTTATTTATTTATTTTTTTAAATTTTTTTTTTCAACGTTTTTTATTTATTTTTTTGGGGACAGAGAGAGACAGAGCATGAACGGGAGAGGGGCAGAGAAAGAGGGAGACACAGAATCGGAAACAGGCTCCAGGCTCTGAGCCAGCCCAGAGCCCGACGCGGGGCTGGAACTCACGGACCGCGAGATCGTGACCTGGCTGAAGTCGGACGCTTAACCGACTGCGCCACCCAGGCGCCCCGCAAAATAGCCCATTTTAGTCAAATACAGAATTCTGAAGAAATTCCAGGCCATGTCCCCGTGCAAAAATCAATTGTGATCTATATTGGTTTGTAAACTTGAATCTATAAGGACGGTATCTCATGGGCTATTCATTTGCTTCTAGAGGAGGAACTGCCTTTTTTTTTTTTTTAATTTTTTAAGTTTATTTATTTATTTTGAGAGAGAGAGAGAGCGCGCGCGAGCACAAGCTGGGGAGGTTCAGAGACAGAGGGAGAGAGAAAATCCCAAACAAGCTCCACACCATCAGTGCCAAGCCCCATGTGGAGCTCGAACTCATGAACTGTGAGATCATGACCTGAGCTGAGATCAAGAGTGGGATGCTTAACCCACTGAGCCACCCAGGCGCCCCGAGGCAGGACTGTCTTTAAACTTGAATTACCGTTTAAGATTTGTGCCAATCCACGAGAAAATGAGCTTCGTTAGTTAAAATATCTCCTATTGTACAATGATGAAAGTCTGTTACAAAGTCTAAAATAATTCAGTTGAATAATCATTTGTTGAATGAATAAATCAATATCTGAACACATTTCGCAAATTACATTCACCTTTTGCAGCCCTTTTTCATAAATCAAAGTATACATGAAAATAAACAAATTCATTAATAAATTCAAATATTAAACACTCCACACTTTGGTGCCCTCCACATCTTTCTGGTTCACTCTTTCAAATACCCCCAATGCTATCAATCCTTGCCTTCACTGGCACCTGTAGTCCCTCAGTCCTACCTGACTTAAATGCCGTTAGACCATTGTACCACTCCCTTGCGTATGCACTCAATCACCTCCCTCTGTCCTACATGCCTGGTGAAACCGCAACGTAGGTGAATCCGATCTCTGCCCACTGCATGCCCGCACCTATGCAAGAGAATGTACGTACAGAAAAGACACAATTTATATGACTGGTCCCTTTTTATATGCCTGGTTATAAGCTTCAAAGGAGCTCTAATTCTGCTTGTAACTCATAATTTATATGCCTACATGCCATTCACTCTTCCAATGTCCTTGAACCAATATTTTATATTTTCACTTTTCTCCTTAAATCCTCAATGCTTCACTCCCTAACCTCATTCTCACTGAAGAATTGAAGCAGTGAGACCAGAACGCGTTAATTTGTGCTGTCATCACAACTGCTCACCGACCTGTCTGTGCCTTCTTTCCTGTTGCCGCAGATAGACTGCCCTTGCTCCTAGCCACACCGGATCCTTCCATCTGCACACCGGATACCATCCCTCACATCTAACCAGGATAGTGCATCAGCGATTTTTCTGTTTCTCTTTTTTCCCCCATCTCATGGGATCATGCTCATTACTAGGAAAACATGCTGTTGGTTCTCCAGGCTTTACAAATGTTTTTTTCTTTGAACCTGTTTCCGTCTAGCTATTGTCCCATTTATTTTCTTCCCCATACAGTAAAATCCTTGAAATTGATGTTTGTACTCACTGTCTCCAACTCCCGCTTCTTCAACCTGTCAGAATTTCACAGGCACTGCTGTACAAAAATTGTTCTTTTCCAGGTCCCCAAACCTCTACGTTTCTAAACCAAAAGCCCTGTCTTCCTTCTCATCTTACCCATGAGATGATAGATGCAGTCTTTGAAAAAGAGTCTGTCTCACCTCATGTGATCAGTAAATGTTAGCTATTGGTATTCTATCTATTCTGTCATGGGTATATAATTCTCAAGGGAAAGATTCATATGGTCTATCTCTGTATTTCCTGTAGGAACGAACACTTAGCACACAGTAGAGTCGCAAAAAGTTAAATAAATACTAGAGGTTTGGTTGTATAAATAAATAAATAAATGGATGGATGGATGAATAAAAACAGAAGTCAAAGATAGGCAGGGCATAATGTAGCACACATTAAATTTTAAACTAATGTTATCTCCTTGAGATGTTTTCAGGTTTGTTTTTTTTTTAATTTTTTTTCCCAACATTTATTCATTTATGAGAGACAGAGAGCACAAGCAGGGTAGGGACAGAGAGAGAGGGAGGCACAGAATTGAAGCAGACTCCAGGCTCCAAGTGGTCAGCACAGAGCCTGACGCGGGGCTCAACCCCACAAGCTGTGGGATCATGACTTGAGCCGGAGTCAGACGCTCAACCAACTGAGCCACCAAGGCACCCCAAGATGTTTTCAGGTTTTAAGGCTGATAAAGAGAATTATAGAAGCCAGGGACTGTTGGGAGAAGGGAGATTCAGAGGTACACACACTGGATTTCGCCTTGGAGAAGCACCGAGAATCCAGAGAAACAGCCCTTGGTGAACTGACTGGGCCAGAGTTCACATTGGTTGCAGCTGATGAGATTTTCTCAGAGTGAACTCTCATTAAATAAGATCTGCACAAGCATGCCTTTACAGTGACCTTTGGAGAGATAAATTAAAACTCAAAAAGCTTTGAGGACTTATTTCAGATCAAAGAGCAAGAGGAAGTGACTGAAGACGCTGGGATGAAGATGGGTGTTTTAAAGTCTGCTTCCTCTATTTCCAGGTTAGGGTTTGGGCAGATTTCCATCTCCAGTAGGGTAGCAGTTGATTCACTTCCAGAATGCTAAACGAAATATACATTTGCAAGGGGATTCCTCATTCCCAGCTGCTTCTACAAGCATTTTCGCCATGATCCTGAAGAGTAGTGGTATATACTACCCCAAAACATGCCACTTTGGTATGTTGATTATTTTGAGCCATGGACATTTGAAAAACAGCAGACGCAGGGGGAGGCTTTCTCCGAACTCCCTTTATCTGCCTAAAGACAGATTCTCCAGAAGGAAGTTGGCTGCTATACATCTTCCTAGGAGTTTCAGCAACCAGGAAAGATGGACTGGTCACAGGAAATTGACAGGAGACACACTGTGTCATGAACTATCGGTGTTTTGGAATGGTGGGGGCTCGAAGCTGACAGCCAAGAAGGAATTCTTGAAGATGTTTTTGGTGCAAAAAAGGTGATTTTTTTGGAGCACGGGGACAGGACACGCCCAGAAAGGCTGCACTGGGGTTAGGAAGAGTGGCTGGTTATATGTTATGGAGCTGGGGAGGTAAAGGCAAATGCAGGTTTCCAGAAGGACTTTGATACGCTAAAGAGGATTCCTAAAATAACTGAGGCCTTGCTATTAGTCACGCTAAGGTAGTTTTCCCTCCAGGAAGGCATTAACATGAAGACAGTTGGGGGTTCCTGGACTAAGGTTATACTCCGCATATGCCTCAAGTATTTGTCAATGGGCTGCAGGTTATAAAGAAATTTAACTTCACCTGCTATTTCCTCTTGCCTGTGTTCCCCACATCACTGCGGAGGGGAGGGTGGATATTAGGGGCTCCAGAAAAGTGAACCTATAGGTTTCTGGAGATTAGGTTATTGATAAGATTGCCTTTTTCTTGTCATTTACTAAGACATTTGTAACTGATGGAGACCCGTGTTCTCTATCAGTTAACCACCATTTGTTTTCTTTCCTTTCCTTTGTTCTTGGGCAGCCAGGAGTGCCTGAGGAATATCATACATATCCCACCTGGGGAGGGGTCGGTGCCAGCTTGTACTTTGTGCTCAGCTTGCCTTTTGCTCACTCATCATTATCCTCTCCCATCTATTCCCTTACCCTCCCCTAAGAGGTTACATCTTCCCTCTACTTTCCCTACAAAGATGGCATTTCATCCTGGATTCTAAGCCACCCTGGAGAGATACTCATTTTTCCCTGGAGAGCTCTCATGTATGCACATAATAGGCACACATGTTAATAAGCTTCTGTTTTTCTCTCGTTAATCTCAGCTGAAAACTCAGAAGGGTACCAAAAAAAAAAAAGGTACAAAACGACTTTTAGTAGCAGGTGCCTAGCAACTTCAGAGGTTTACTTTATAAATATTTGTTGAATTGGTGAGTGGGTGTGCCTTATATGTAATCATGGGATACTACTGAGAGGTTTCTGTGGGTTGTCTTTGGTTTTTTGATTGCTCTGCACCTCAGAACCAAGATATAGCAAGATAAAGGAGAAGGAGGCTCTCCCCCCACACCTGACATCACAGGGCCGAGGAGGGTGACATAGGATGTAGGTGTGTATCTCTTTTACACAAATGTGTTGGATTCAAACCCTAGATTTTATTTAAGCCTTCTAGAAAGAAACGTAAAGTTTATTATTACAAGTCTTTTTTTTTTTTTAAAGAAAAACAAGGCTCTGCAAAGCTTAGTGGTTGAATATCTGAAGACAGAATCTTCTTTTTAAATACACTAGGAGATTTCAATATGAAAAGTACCACGCTTGTTTATTTACCTTCAATTTGCAGCTTTTCAGACACCAAAACATTTCTCTGCTGAAATGAAACAAGTATCTCTGGCTAAAAAGAGAGAGGGAGAAGCATTTAATTCTGTGCACATAATAAAACATTCACACTACTGCATGATCCTTGCTAGGGTGGCTCTTTAAGGAGTGGGCTTTAGGTTTTTGCTGAGAACTGTCTTTAAACAAACAAACAAAGCTAGTGCAGGCTTCAAGACTTGCAAATATAATAATAAAATTATCAAGTCAACACTCTTATGAGGGCTGACTTTATAATCAAAGATTTGGAATTGAAATATCATTACAACATTAAGGGTTTGAAGTTGTACAATGCAGATTTCAAAGAAGGAGAAGTTAAAATATGAATATTATAAAAATATGTAAAAAAAAATAGTGTGAAATGTCAGTACTAACTCTTTTCTCTTACTAGGGACTCTGCGGCACCCTAGAGCGGAGCCTTTCGCCGCCCCCTGTCCCCGGAGCACGGAGCACGCATGCGCAGCAGACTGCAGCCCACGTTGCTGTCGCCAGTTTGCCAGTGGGGAGAGAACGGGCGCCACGCTGTGGTGCAGGGGAGCCACTGCCACCTGCAGACGGATCCCTTCCTCTGGTCAGCCTCCACTCTACCTCTGAAAAATCGGGGTGATACACAGGCTTTCTGGAGTTGTCTGCTAGGCTATAGAGATCCCCGCCTTCTCCTTCACACAGAAGTTCCTGGGGTTCAACTCTTACCGACTTCACCGAGCTCCAAACTCTGGGTAGCAAGGCAGCCAGTTAAATCCCAGATCCTCCCGAGCTTTCCAGGGCGAGGCGGGGATTTAAGAGCAGCCTTGCACTAGGATGATCCTCATCTTCCCTGCAGGGCTCACATTTCTATTTTTTAAGGTGCACTTTCTCTTGAGCTAAATTCCAAAGTCCTTTGTGAGTGTTAGTGATGCCAGAGGTACTGTCCAGTTTGATGACTGGATGGTTCAGGAGTTATTTCTGTTACAGGATTATAATATTCCAATCGACCGCGTCGGATCAAAGGGCAGAGAAAAAGCCTCACCGGTTTCTCGGGGAGGATTCATATGCTCCTATGTGAAGGTCAGTCTCAAATCAGGGAGTTACCCTGCATGAAAATATTGTTTAAATGTTTATTCATTTATTTTGAGAGAGAGAGAGAGAGTGAGCAGGGGAAGGGCAGAGAGAGAATCCCAAACAGGCTCTGCACTCTCAGTGCAGAGCCCCATTTGGCGCTCGAACTCGCAAACCGTGAGGTCATGACCTACCTGAGCTGAAATCAATAGTCAGACATTTAACCCACTGAGCCACCCAGGCACCCCAAAGTATGAAAATATTTACATATCCTGCCGTGTGATCAGATTTTCACATCATTTGGGTAGAAAGAAAAAAAGGAGATGTGAGATCCCAAAATATGAACCAGGGATCATTGAAGGGAAACATTTCATGTGGAACCCTTCATATCCTTCCTGTGACTGATACAGTCAGGAAAAGGACTGCAGCCTATACACCTAAGGCAGGAGAGCTGGCCTTCATCGGATACATACTAAGTGGTATTTATTCTAGGCACTGTGCTAGGAGCTAAGGATAAGCAAGTTAATCAAAGCGATCCCCCTTACCTTCACAGAGCTTTTGGTCTAGTGTGAGAAAAGTAAAATGATTAAGTGCTAAGACAGAAAGCTATAGAAAGACATCAAAGGCATAAAATGGGTTTCTAATTAGTCCAGAAAGGTAGGTATCAGGTAAGACATTCTTGAACCAGCTACCTTCAAGCAGAGACCCTAGGAAGAATTAACAATGTGAAGGGCAGAAAAGAGGAAGAACAGAATGTGCAAAGGTCCTGAGGTGAGAGGGAGCCTGGAACTTTGGTCAGAGTTCACAGTGCATTCATGGTGATGGGATAGAGTAAGGTAGTAGGAAAGGCAGAGGTCAAATCAGGTAAGCCACTGTAGGATTTTAATCTTTCCAAATGGCACTGAAAAGTCACTGAAGGATTTTAATTTGATAGAGATATGATCTTACCTTCAGTCATTTCATGTGTACAGTAATAGGTGGTGTTACCACTTTCAGGGGTTGAGTTCTGACTCATAGGTCCCTTTGAAAAATGGCTCAGCCAGGCCCTCCTCAGCATGGGAGTATAGTATGATACTTTGTTATTTGCTTTAGGGGAAGGATGCAAAGATTGTTTATAAAACTAAGTCCTTCATCTTCCATTTATAGAAAAGAGTACTTTTCTAAATGTAAGAAAAAGCTGATAATCTTTAACTACAATAACAGATTTATACAAGTGATACTAGAGTCTGTAATTTCTACAGTTGCTATGGGCAGTCAGATCCCAGAAACATAGATTTGTCATTCGTTTTCTTGTTTATGATGCACAATCATTCTTCAAAGCATTCTGTGATTCAAACTTCTAGAAATTATTGTCTGAATGTGCCCTTGCCCTGCTGTTATTTCACTAAACTTGTAGAACTGGCCCGATTTGTTTACTGCAAAGAAAATTTTATTCTGCTGTGGCTTTTTTGGACAATCTTTAAATTAGCCTCCACTGTTCTATGTAAAACCACTGGAGAAAATAATCTGCCATTCATGGCCAACTAGTCCTCAGGTGGAGGGAGTGCTGGCACGGACAGGCTGACTTAAATTCCTCCTAGACCATTATTTGATTGGTAAACTTGGGTACATCAGCTTGCTTGCTTGTTTGCTTTTAAGTATTTCTTCATCGACAATTCTTCGCTTACAAAAGGGGTACAAGAATGTAAAATGGATAGAAGAATGTCTACCTCTTTGAGGTTTTGTGATAATTGACAAAAAATACAGGTAAAGTGCTTTGCATACAGCTCCCCACATAGAGCTACACAGTTTTACAAACATATTATTTGCTCCTCCTTTCTTCCCAGGCATATGAAGCACATACTTTTTAATGAAAATTTAGAAGGCAGGCAGATTTTTGAATGGCTCGTTGATTCTCTTTAAGAAGATAGGACATCCCTACATTCAATTCTTGCTACACTTTTGAAACACTAATGCTTTATATTAACGGAAGTACTCCTAGAATCCTTCTCTTATCCTGGACTTGTCCTGCATAACTTTCAAAGTCTGAAGATGACTTATATGCTCTATTCAGGTGGAGACCTTTTTTTTTTTTTTCCCTTTCTTTCCCCCTTTTCCCCCCTGCACACCTCCCATAGATCCCCTATTTTAGAACGGGGGGGGGGGGGTCTGCTTTAAACTCTGAAATGCCGAGTGCTTAGTAGCAGGAATCATATTTTGACATTGAAAACATTTGAAAAAAGAGAAGGATTTTATTTCCTAAATATCGAAGGGAAAACGGTTTCAATTATTTGAATGACGACCGGTCCGCTTTCGACGATGGATCCTTTCAGTTTCTGGTGATGAAGATACTGGGGCAGTAAGACTTCACCCAGGGAAGCGGAAAACTGCCCTGTGAGCAGGCTGCGCTCCGAAGGCAGGGGGCGGTCGGCGCTGGGAGCTCCTGGAGATCCAAGGAGAATCGCGCTCCCTTTTCCTCCCCTCTCCTAACCGCAACCCGTCCTGTAATTAGCGGAGCGAGTCAATCTGAGCTAGGCAAATCACTGGCTTTTCACGAAATAATTATATTTGTGTTGCTCTCGGACATGTGCACCTCTAAGCCTGAAAACAGAGACAGCTGTTTTTCTTTTTCGTGACCGGGGGCAGGGAGAAAACAGGGGAAGCGACAGTGGTGGAGGGAGCGAAACCAGTACGGGGTGGACGAGAGAAGTGGGAGCGTGGGAAGAGAGTCTGGCACGGACAGTTACAGCGCGCAGAATGCCCTGTACAGTACGCGATGTGATAACCCTCGGAAGGGGAACAAAATGAGGCTTTTCTCAACTTTCTGAAACAGCCACAGAGCTCCCCAGTGTGTCCCGGCCTCCGCAGCTCCGGGGCCGGGCCGGGAGCGCCCCCACCCCGCGGGGCCGGCCTCCCCTCCGGACCCCGAGCCTGCGGCGCCTGGGCGCGAGCCTGGCACACCCGGCGTCCCCTCGTAGGAGCCTGCGGGGGAAAGGGCGCGACGCGTGGGTCGCGCCGGCCCCTTCGCTGGAGGGACGCCCGACGCTGCCTCCGGGGCGGGGACAGCTCCGGCCACCTTGCGCGATTCCGCCCGGAGCCGGCTGGTTCCGGGGGTGGGGGGTCCGGGCGCGCGGTGCGGGCTAGAGAGGAGCGCGGCCCCGCGTCGCCCGCGGGCTGGGGCAGGTGCGCGGCGCGTCGGCCCGGTGCTCGCGTCCTCCCGCCCCGCGGCCCGCCCGCCCCGGAGGCAGCGTCGGGCGTCCCTCCAGCGAAGGG